GGGCTTTACGCTTCAGGGTTTGGTTCACGTTATGAACCCGCGTCATTACCGTGGAGAGTGCAGTACAGAGACTGCTCGGAGAAGCTGGGGCTTCATGCAACTGCCGAAAGACTAGAGCGACCAGAGGTGAGCTGGGCGACCATGGCATCCAATCAGCAGATACTGGCAGGATCAAGTTCTCAACGGACGTCTCTGCCCCCAGCCCACCCAAGCCTCACCAGTGTCGAAGCTCTTTCTAAGTCCTTCCACGAAGTGACCTTGCTCTGCAAACATCTTGCTCCACTCGCTTCTTCACCAAACAAGGCTTTGACTACCAAGCCGAAGCCCGGCTTCAGGCGAAGCACGATTTCTAAGCATCGCTCCAAACACAATGACAGTATGGGCTCCCAGCCCAGAGACACACCTCGGCCCTGCATCCCGAAGCTCAAGCCCCAGTGCAAGACCAGCTGCGTGCATAGTAGCTCACGAAGCGCTTGGAATCCTCGTGGCTAGTCTACGACAGCCGGCTTGCGGTCTAGGCTTCAGGGCACACAGATGTGGGCGTCGGGACTGACACCGAAAAGGGTGTAGATTTTGGGACAGCGTCCCCAACCCTATGGACACTTGATATTCCGACCACGACTGCCACTGCCACTCAGCACAGCACCTCGTGTTTGGACACGGCCTGGAAGCAATGGATGCAGGTGTCGCTTCTTCCCAATTTGCTGCTGGGTATCCCTACTTGTGCACGGGTGTCGCTTGGAGTGCTACAGGACAGGGCTTGAACAAGTAGCATGCACGGCGGCGAGTTGGTGGGGTCAACAGGCAAAACATCGCCGATCCATACCTTCGTCTGCCACGAGACATGTGTCACCAATATTATGCCGTGATGCCGACATGTGTTCTGAAACGCTACATGTGGCCTCAGCAAATGCATCGCTGCGGATGGTCACCAATTTGCCTCGGATTTCCGTTTCCTTTTGCTTCTGTCTGATACACCAGCCATTCTCCGATAGCTCGCTGTCTCTTGGCATGCTGACAGTGCAACCCAGATGCTGTGTGACGTTGAAATGAAGTCGCCCTGGTTGATCCACTTATCCGCCCAGATGCAGGCCTCTAACTCACGATGTTTTGCAGAACGCAGAGCCGGCACATTCCAGAGGAGACCCCAGGCCTCGCACAAGTAGGAGCCTTTGGGAAGCTCGTAATTCTGGAGGAGTTCGTTCTGAGATTCGAGGAACTGCCTGGTGCCAGTGCTCTTCGACGGGACAACACGCAGCTGCAAGGTCTACACTAGGGTCAGAATTTGTTGACGCAGGTGCTTGGGCAATGCCGAAGCGTTAAGGTTCCACGAATATGGAATCAACTTCCTATATAGAAACAGAGCGTCTACCTGGCACAGCAAGTTCCTGCCATGGCCCGAGGCCAGGGCGTCTTGCGGCCAAGCATGTTCTGCACGCGGCGCGCTGGACTCTTCTTCGTCTTCCTGGCCGTGGCCGTTGTTTGCTTAAGGTCGGGTGGGGTGATCAGAGTATACCACCAAACGCTTACTTAGAGTACCTCATTTGAGAACATTCTAGGAACCTACAGTTTGGGTCTACTTTCCGAAACTCCCAGTTCCTAAAGGCCTGAAAGCACGGGGGCAAGAAGCCGCATCTGAAAACCCCCCAACCTAAATCGGCAACTTCTCTAACACCCCAAACTCGAAAACACACTCAAAAAAACCCTTAAAACAAACCCCCAAGCCACCGCATCTTTGTTATCGTGCCAGGCGGCTTGTCAAAGTCCACCCCGCGATCTGCCAGCCAACTCTTCAGTCCGGTATCTCGGCTATAGAGAAGCCGTGGACCTGAGGAAGTCACGGTTAAAATTTTAAAATGCTGTTAGTAGCCGAAATTCCCTACCGGAGGAGCCATTGTGACGGTTGGGGGGAAGTCGTTGCTTATGGGGTTTAGGGCTTTGGGGTAGGGTTTTTTGTTGACGCCTCGTTTCCTTCCGCATGATGATGCGGTTTGAACGCCACGTGGCTGAGGCGGGTGTGTGTGAGAGACCGGGAACTTGAGAGATTCACCACCTATGCCACCTACCCCACACTGCCAATCTGCTCGGCCTCCCATTCCCTTCAAGGCCCCCTGAAGATCCTGAAACAGCCACTGCCATCGGCAACCAGAAACAGGCAAGCCAAGCACCCTTATAATAATAATACTACTAATAATAATAATAACAATAAGAATAATTATTATTATCATTATTATAGTAATAATAATAACACTAACAATAACAATAACAACAATGATAATAATAATATAAATAAACTAAATAAACCTCAGACAAGGGCTACATGCGGATCCTGTGAGGCTGTAAGGGTCTACAGGGTGTAGGGCCGGCAAGTGTCGGCGTACGGTAATAGGGTTTTACGGCCTTGCAAAGCTTATAGCCCTTAGGGTCTTCAACGAAGTTTAAGCCAAGATGGAAGAAAGATTCCGAACTGGACAGCTTGGCACTCAGGCTCAAGCTTCAAAGAGCGATAGGCCCTAGCCAACAAGATCGAAAGAGCATAAACTATACACCTTGAGAAACACTCCGCACATGAGCTCTGAATCCCGACAGATGTCATGCCAAACACCGTGTCGCCAGGATGCCATCCACGAAGTACATCTGGTGGCACACACTGCCCTTCGCAAACACCGTCTCCATGTACCGGCTTGACTCCTCGCTCGGCACGCAATGGCACGAGTTACATGAGCGACATTCTCGTTGCTGCTGCTGCTGTCAAGGTTGTCGATCTCATTACCGTATATCGTTGAAAATGCGTGATGGCTACCGCTGCCGGGGCGACTGTTGCTGCCGCTGCTGACGCTGCTGTTCCTCTAGCGACGTCACGCAATGGTGACTGTTGCAGTTACCGGCAGCTCCCACTCACTAGTGTCCCGCCCTGCTGATGCTAGGCACTGACTGTGCGGGCATTCATGCACTCCGGTTCATACCATACAGCACTAGATCTGCGCGGATGCCACGCCTGTTTCACTGCCTGAGTCAGCATCGTCCGCAGAGTCGCGTTGTACTCACCCTTCAGCACTCTGAAAAGCCTGTCAGCTTCGGCAGCTTTTCTGCTTGGCATGTCCTCGACGTGACTGCCCAGAGTTCTGCCAAACCTCTATTATCCGGAACAATAGTAGCATGCAAGATGCAGTCTCCTTCGCCCAACACGAACAGCCTGTGCTGGGTTCATGAATTCTGTCTGCTGCCAAGATGCGGATGATTCGACAGCAGAGGCATGCGCACCTAGAGCTTGTCGAGAGCTGCACAGCATTCAGAGCAGACTCCGTGGTGATGAGTACCAGCTATTGAGCCCGGTAATATCAAAAGACGCTGACACAACCATTAGTCCAACCACATCACGCTACTGGATGAAGAGTAGAACCAATGGCTGTCGAGACACTTCCATCAGCAAGTCAGCCTGGCAATTCGCGTGACACGTGCTGCTGTAGTCACAAGCACGGTCGCAGTTCGGCTAATTATTGGTGCCAGGCAAGCTGTGATGTACATGGTCTAAAGTCTGCTCTTCGATCATGGTTTACAATCCTGATCACGGCATCCATGAGGTGACATATCTTTTCTCCGCACTCTCGGACAAACCTCCGGACAGAGTGAAAATCGAAGGCGAAAATTGTTGGACCTGCCACAGAAGCTCGTCTCGAGAGACGGCTCCCGACATCTTGGGGCCAAACAAGCGCACCATGCTGCACCGGAGGATAGTAGAGCAAACTGATGCCGTAGCTCCTGGATCCCTAGGCACCCGAGATGGCCGAATCTTTCAACTCTGGACTGCCAACATCCCTCAGGCGAGCAGGATCAATTCGGATCATGCCTCGGTTTGTGTGAGCATTGCGAGTCACAACTGCAGGGATGGGTTCATCTGCATAGCTGTTCGTCTGACTTATACAGCGGTGCGTGACATCGTAGGTTTTCACGGTTGCGTAAATTTACCGAGCGGAGAATTACAGGAAAACAGTCACCACGTTGCACACGTGTCTCAACATGTTGAATAATTCATGCATGAATTAGCCCGGCATTGCTTCATGCTGCTTCAAGAATCCGTGAGAATTGCAAAGGCCTCAACAGGCTAGGGACCTCTTTCAGCCAAGCGGCAGTCCTGTGCTTCTTCTCAGGAGGAACCTGCTGACGCTTGCACAAGCCGAGGTGTTCAAAAGATCTACAAGCCCATACAGTACTAGCCCGTTCGAGAGCATCGGACCTCCTCCAGATCAGCATGTTCTTTGTCCTTACCCAAGCATCCAGCAAAGCAAACAGTACATGAGTATGACGCACTGGCATGAACAAAATCCAACCGAGATCTGCCTCTGACCAGACGAGCTGATGCCTTGGCCTTCTACTATAGACGGCTGGCAGGACGACGATCATCTCTAGCGGCCCTAGCACCCTCGCTGGCGCCAGAACCGGAACAAGCGCACCAAATTACACACCTTCCACCCCCACGCCGGGGCCCACCCCTGCCGTACCCACCGGCCAGCAGCACCACCACGATCACCGCCGGACCAACACACCGGCTGAGGACGTGGGGTTGACTATGCGCACTTGTTCTACCTTGTATGGCACCGAGCATCGAAGTCCCAAACGTGTTGGAACCCCATCGTCACGCAGAAGCCTTTGAAGTTCGCCAGGTCACTTTGACAAGATTGAGAGGATCCTCGGTGCTGCCAAGCATGCGGCGGGAGATGCGATTCTACGGTTGAGCAGGCCCAAACTGTGTAGTATGAACTGTGGCTGGGTCATGCCTATGCTGGGTTGATGCCTGACGGAACACAGGAAGGCTTGAAGAGCTTGTTCTCCTTCAACATTCGATTTCACCAAACGCGGACGATGCCGACGGCGACGGCTGCCGAATCTTGCGTTCTCACATGGACAGGAGCCATGCAGACTCCATAGTCTCATGCCAGGACATCTCGAACTGCAGAATTTGTTCTATGGCATTTTACGGTTGTCATCATCTGCCATACCATTCAGCTGAGGCGCCCTCGTTCCGCAAAGACCTGGCAGGGCTCTACGACCCTGCGACCCGCAAAGGCACACTGGCAGAAACTCAGTGCTCAGACTACTAGTCAGAAAAACCAACAAGCCAAAGGCATGAGATAACTTCATGGTCACCTGTAGACTTTCTCCAAAGCTTTCCCCATGGCAAGGAAGCCGGTCGCAGGATAGATCGCCACCTGATAGCCAAGCCTCAGCTTGCAATATAGTGCTCTTGTAGTTGGGGAGGTGGTGGGGCTGTCAGGGGAGATGTGACAGCTCTGGCCTCTTTCATCCTCTATCGCCAAGGGGAAACCGAACTATTTACTTGAGCTTGTGGAAGCAAGGCATCAGAAAAGCATTGGTGGATATTGGAGGTGTTGCTGTGACTACGGTTCTTATCGATTGAGGACTGTAGCGGCAGCAGTAGCTTACGTGGAATGTATGTGAATACTTTCCCGCTGGAGTGCTCGATGTACCGCTCTCGCGGCAGCACAGGCGTCTTCCCACCTGATACGTACCGAAGAATCATCTGAGGAGCTAAGTTTCAGCATGCTTCGTGCATTTTCATTGCCATTGCGTCCACTGACTTTCTGGTGCAAGCTGCCAAAAGGGCTTTGCTGCTACGCTTTCTACAGAAGAGTCCCTATCACCTGCGGAGAACGGAAACTGGACAGTCTGCTGTCTGCCTCTGAAGCTCGAAGCTTCGAGTGTTCACTAAAGGCCACACTCAGAAAAAATGCGGTCAACAGGGCGATGTCCGAAGATTCAGCAAGCTGTCACACTTGCCCCCTTGCCTTCAACCGCGTTGACCAACATTGCCTTGCCAGTCGGCGCCAACTCATCACAGATCTGCTTCATTTCTGCCTCGATCAGATGATGATAATGAGAATAATGAATTTCCAGAATAACAATGATAATGCTAATACTGATACGACTAATACTAGGAATACTACATGATTATGCATGACAACACTAATCATAGTCATAAGCAGAGTACATACCGCCTGTGCTCGAATTCCTCGATGGCTGCGACTCCCTAGGTCGATGTCGTCGATGACGGAAAGCAAGCAAGCGACCCGAGGCCTGAGGACCGAAAAAGATTGCCCATCCCCTCCTAGAGCCCTCATAATAGTATGTTATAAATATACTATTATGTTATAGTATACTACAGTAGTTATGTTATAAACTTTGTACATGTACCAGTATGTACACATGGAGCTATATATATATATATACACACATGCACTGTATAAACCTTACAGCCTAAGCTTCCATGTCATCCTCGGCTCCCCAAGGCACCTCGGACTCGGGCGCTTCAACGAAGAGGATGTCTGCTCCAGCCTTCGCAGCACCCGAAGGCTAGCAAAAAGGATGGCGTGCTCTGCTGGAATGGCTCCTGGCCTCCAGAGCAGAGATATATAGACTTTATAATATACTGTAACATACTATAATACTATAATACTACAAGCTAAAACCTAGAGAGAACTCCAAAGAAGAGCCGTAACACCAGGGTCTTGGGCTTGGCTTTGGCATACTTTCCTTGGAGACACTGGGCAAGCTTCAAGGATTCCCAGAGGCACCCGAACCCTCCTGAACCCCAAACCCGAAATCCCCAACAAACACGGAAAAAGCAAGACCCTTGAGGCGCTAAGCAGTCAGCAACCCGAGTCCTCCCACCTATGATTCTTATTATTCTGATTATGATATATATATATATATTTTTTT